CCTCCATACACCCTTTCTTTCGCCCCCCTCCAACTTTCCATCTTCCCTCCAACATTTCCCTTTACCCTACTTCCACTCCCCCTCTACCACTCCTCTCTCCCAGTACACTCCCTCCCTTCCTTCTCACCCTCCTTCCCATCCTCTCTCCCACCCTCTCTACCCCTCTTTCTTCTATCCCTCTACTCCTCCCTTCGGTGTATTTCCTTGCTAAAATTTTTGAAGCCCACCCCTGGGATCACATGACCCATAGAGACTGCGACCATCATAAATACGAACCAGTTGTCAAGCATCCGAATTTTGATACCGTGTGAGGTGAGGATGCTGCAGTGACGGTAAAGGTGAAAAAAAAAGGCATCCATCGCTTTTTTTTTTTCTCAGTGCTGGTTGTAACTTTGAAAGGTCACGAAATGAACTGTTGTAAGCCGAGGACTGCCTGTACCTTCTCATATACAAAAAAAACCTGAGTTTGCCTTTTGTGGTTAAATCTTAGGATGAAGATGAACGGTTGAAAGGTTTAACTCATGAAGAAAAGGACGTCCTACTTTTTTTCGAAGAAACTATGGATTCTTTGGATGACGGTGTGGAGGAGGAGGAAGGCTTGCACGACAGTGGGGTCTTCTGCAATTCCCCAAAGCTGGTGGAGGAAAACACACCTGACCATTCCGGGTCTGAAGAGCTGATAGAATTGGCCCCATCAGTACCAGAGAGCAGCACGGAGCCAGGTAAAGTGAAATTATTTGCCCAGGTGTGAATTTGTGTTCTGGGAACTAAAGAGGTGGACTTCCAAGGAATAAGATTGTTCAGTTGGAGTTGAACCGACCAGAATTAGTTCATTCTGCTCGGTTCAAACTCTTGAGAAGTTCCATTTGACTGGGAGACATTTGGCTTTGCAAAACTAATTGGCAATTAGGTCTCTGGCAGTGTTTCAAGGAAGAAAAAGGGGGGTGCTTATCTGAAAGACTTTGGCAACTCGAGCAGACATCTGTCGTACTCTTCACATTCACCGCTTGTGAATCATTACAGGCTGTGAATGACCATAATTTACATCCGTTTAAATAAAAGAGGGTTTTTGGGACTAAGCGTGTGATTTATGCTTTCTCAGAAAACCTAGGTCAGAACAACACCTTCGGGACAACCATGACCTGGATGACTGAGAATTTCCGTAGACCTCTGGACCATTCCGCGTAACTTCTAAAACAGATCTAATAGGTTCTTTTGTTTTTCTTCCTAGCATCAGAGGAAACTTGGAAGCTGGATGAGCCAAAGCTGGAGGATGCTGAACTATCAGAAGAAGATGTCTGTCTTCATCCAGTTTCTCTTCCGCCAACACCGCCTTCACCACCTCCGTTGCCGGTCTGTGAGACGTATCCCATTCAGCCTACTATACCGCATCCGAAGCTCCTTCACTCCATCCCTACACCACTTCTGATTGCCGAGAAATTGTTGGAGCAGCAGGCAGAAGGCAGTTCTTCCTCGCTTTCTTCTCTAAAGGAAAGGGACCCCAACAAGAGGAGGACCATCTCCACTTCTTCCACTCTCTGCAGTAGGGAGCAGGTCAAGCCTTGTGCCCCACCTCCAACTGCTCCCAAACCCCAGAGGTTCCCGAAAAACATCAGCTTCACCAATGCCAGCGAGCGGGAATTCAGCAAAATCATCTCCAAGGCGGCCGTCAACGTTCAAGAGCGCAAGGCTCAAGTGTTGGCCAACGTCAACGCTTCAGCCTTGCTACTAAATGAGTTGGAAGAGAGGCTGCAGAAGCGTGGACTTTTGGGTCCCAGCCAAAGCTTACCTTTACGAGATTTACCTTCTGAGTCCACGGACCACGAACCCTTGAGTAGTTTAAGCCTGGTTGAGAAAACTCTTGCTCGGGCCCAACTCATCCATCCTCTCAAAATCCTTTCCACCACAAAGAATGAGAGGCCTGAACAAGAATGTGGTACACCAAATGACTATCAAAACACCCATGAAATCATGAAAAAGGATCCTAATTTGTTACCCACCCTGAACAAAACAATGACTGTCAAGCCAGATGTTGACCTTGTGGATGGCAAGTCTGCTTGGCCAAGTATTTCTGGACAACCCCAACAAGACCTCATCCTCGACATACAGAGAAAGTTGAGCACATTGCCCAAATCTACAGGACTCCATTCCAAAGGTGTCACAGTACAATTTTCTGGCCGTGGTTCGACAGAAGAAGCCCGGAGGGAGGCTCTACGAAAACTGGGACTTCTGAAAGAATAATGGAACGAGAAGAACATCTAAAGAACATTATGACAGATTGACAAATTCCAATGAAATCCATTCTATTTATCATGCAGGCGAAGGAAATATTAAGTGTTTGGAACACCACCGTTCTCTGCTGGCATTTGGGATGGATGTCCTTGACATGAACTCACCGTGCTTATTGAAGACTTCAAGGCCGTTCATAAAAGCCCAGGTGAAAATGAGAGTGTCAAGTTAAATGAAGGTCAACGGGCAGTCCGTGTGTAAGCCTTGTGTGTATCACTGGCCACGTACATCGGAATCCCTTGGATAAAACCCCAAAGATCCCAAAAGGACTGTATTAAGGAGTTCTGTAAGGATAAATGTATATATCCCCCATGTATCGGGCAGCTCAAATTTGTAATGAACCTGCTATCTCTGATTGTTGCAAGTATTTAACACTGCAAATCATTGCTTTTGCAGAGTAGCTGGCAAGACTGTCGCAAACCTTTTCAGCTTGGTTGATAGCTTGAAAAATATCAGGCCTGCTGGATTTGACAAAGGGACCCATTGCATTTATGTTCTGTTTCCTGGAGCTTCCCGGTCCCTGTGCTGCTAAAAATCAGTTGTGTAAAAATGATCGGGGTGTTCTGACCTAGGCTTCCCAAGATCGTGAAGCTGACTCCTTGTCCCAATAAAACCTCTTTTATTTAGGTCAAAGGGAATCCCTCTTCCGCAAAGTCCTGGCAAACAGTCTTTCATGAGATTTCACAACTACAGACCTTTTATCAGGCTTGGAGATTTTCCAGGCCGATATCTTCCAAACGCCATGCTCTAGCAGCAAATACTTGGCAAGAAGTCAAGAACAGATCTTCCCCCTAATGAATTGAACTAATTTTCTCCTGCAAACTCCCCTCCCCTTTCGCTCCTCTTTATTCCCGATAGGAGGGGCCATTCACTGTCCACCTGTGCCTTTACTCCTGAGTCAGCCCTAGTTCCTTAACTGTTTCCTTCTCCTGGCATCTCTATGCATGTGTACATCAGGAATAGGTTCCAGCTGTTCTTCTGCCCCACTGATCTCCGACTCCGAAGGCAGCTGATAACTGTTGGAGTGCCCTGGCCCCATCTCTGCCTCCGACGCAGAGCCCTCATCAGAGCCTTACCCAGACTCCAGGACTGGCCCATGTTCCTCCCCAACCTCTTCACTGTCTGAGTCTGCCACCAGCTCCACTAGCTGGTGGGCCACAACAGGGGGACCCAATATGTCATAAGTCTGGGTTGCAATCTTGGGTGACCCCATTTTCTGACCTCCTAGGCTTCACGTTGAAGCATATGATAATCTGCTCTTTCCTCTACCACATCTAATACAAGGTACACTACCTGTAGGGTAGCCCAACTTGAGCACTTTCCAGATGGGCTTAGATTTGAAGTCCGCACATCTGGAGGTTGTCCAGATGTAAGCTCACATAAGCTCTTAGAACTAGGTACACAGTTGTACATGGAACCTACCAAAGAGTGAAGGATCCAGTGGCGTAAAGAACTGATACAGGTAGTCTTCGACTTACGACAGCTCATTTAGTGGCTGAAGTTCACTAACGTCCAACATTTCTGTTGTTAAGCATTCCGATTGTTAAGTGAATTTTGCCCCATTTTAGGACCTTTCCTGCCACAGTTGTTACGTGAATCACCGTAGTTGATAAGTTAGCAATCCAGTTGTTAAGTGCATCTTGATTTCTCATTGACTTTGTCAAAAGATCGGAAAGTGTGTTCACCGGACCACGGAACACCACAATCGTCCTAAAGCCTCGTGATCACTTTGTTGTAACAGTGAAAAATGGTCATGTCACCCTTTTCAGTGCCGTGGTAACTTTGAGCGTTCACTAAATGAACTGTTGTAAGACCATTTGTAAGGACACGGTGGCTCAGTGGCTAAGACACTGAGCTTGTCGATCAGAAAGGTTCGAATCCCTAGTGCCGTGTAACCGAGTGACACCCGTTACTTGTCCCAGCTTCTGCCAACCAAGCAGTTCGAAAGCACATTAAAAATGCAAGTAGAAAAATAGGAACCACCTTTGGTGGGAAGGTAACAGTGTTCTGTGTGTCTTCGGCATTTAGTCATGCCGACCACATAACCACTGAGACATCTTCGGACAGCGCTGGCTCTTCGGCTTTGAAACGAAGATGAGTACCGCTCCCTAGAGTCGGGAACGACTAGCACATATGTGCAAGGGGAACCTTTACCTTAAGACCACTTGTAAACCAAAGCCAGAACTGATATTTGCGTGCATATTGGCAACGTTTCGGCGAGGTCTCACTCCCTATCTTCAGGCTGGTGTTTTTGGCTTAATGAAGATTGCAAGTGAGACGTCGCCGAAACGTTGCCAAGACAATATCAATCTTACACAGGAAAAGACCCGAATACAACAAGACCAGCATACCTACACTCGTGAAAATCTACGAAAACATAGCTCCCCCCCAGCACTTTCCCTCCCTCCCTCTCTCTCACACACACATGCACACACGGGTTCATGGCAAACTGGTACCGAATGGCAGACATGAGCCAGCACTTCTGATATTATGGATCTTGGGGATGCAGCTCTCTTACTCCAGGGTGTAGCCCTGGAAGGTAAGGAGCCCAGAAATTGCCCCGCGTGATAAGAAAGAGAGCCTTTTCTTGGACTCAATGCCCTCCTTACCCATCGGATCCTTTCAGCTAAAGTGTATTGTAGCGGCAATGCTGTGAATTCTCGTTTCATCTCAAGCCCTCTTCATGTAGACATGGGTTCCATCACAAAACCGCGGTAGACTAAAGCGTGTGTGACTAAAGTGCGGTGACAAAACCGCACCGTCAAAACTGCGCGACAACAGCGCNTCAAGCCTGGTGGCATAAGGTATTCTGTTGCCCAGAAGAGTGCAGTACTCTTCTCATGAAATATCTCTGGACTCACTCAGTTGTGCTAATGTTCAATATACAGTGTGGTTTCCGCTTCCACTTCTCAAATATGGATGAGATTTATTTGAGAAGCGGTCTAGCAAAGATTGTGTATGCCCTAGTTTGCAGTACAATATTACCGGGGAAGAATCTTTGCAAGATTAGGTTAACAACTCTTAATGTCTCAAAAAGCTTCTTGTGATAATCAGGAGATTTAAGCCATGCCTCAGAATGAAGGTTGTGGTTATTGTGGATGACAAAGTGAGAAAGAATTTGGAAAAAGTGAGTGAGGAAAAGATTCCTGGATGTGCATATTCTCTCATATGCACTATACACAAATTCATGGACAGAGAGTGGGGGAGGGAGGAAGGGACAAGTAATGGGAGCTCACTCCGTTATGCGGCGCTAGGGATTTGAACCACTGAACTGCCGATCTTTCTGATCAACAAGCTCAGTGTCTTAGCCACTGAGCCACCGCATCCCTGTTATCTGTTAGGAATGAACAAATAAGCCCAAGACAAAGCCAAAAATTAATTTATCATAATCAGTAGGATTAACCAGATCAAATATAAACATAAATCCAAAAGATAGTTTGTGACTATAAGAAGGAAAGAAAGGAGAAATCTGTTGTAGTTTTTACACTACAAAGAACAGAAATAAAATAAAAATAATGACGAGGGAGTGAATTTCATGAACCCTTAGTATTTGTAGCTTGTGAAATTAGAAGGCTATGTTTAGTTCAACATTCTTTGAGATGATGTATCTGCTAACAATTGGGTAGAGAGGAAGCAAACATTCTGAGAAATTTCAGTCCAGTCAAGTGATCATTACAATTCTTTAAATAATTTATTTTGATGGGTATTATAAATAGCCATACATAAATAAATAAATCATGTATGGAGAGAGGAAAAGCCTACTGTTTACTTGTTCAATGATTAACACATATTAAATGGAGGGTTAAAATGGATAGAATCCAGAATTTCACAGGACTTCCAACACTAAAAAAAATACTTGTTTATTTCATTTGTTTGTTTGTTTGTTAGTTTGCTGACCATCTCACCATGAAATGATTATGTGTGGCTTACAATACCAAAATGAATAAAAGAATACAAAACCATAAATATGAATGAGAATAAAACACTATAAAAATAAGAATGATCAGCTAATACTAAAGGATGGGGAGGGAGGGAGGAAGAATGAGCAAGGGAGGGCCTCCAGGATAATGCTCTCCCATTGCAACCCAGGGCAATTCAAGGTCTTGGAGAAGCATGGCAGTCAGTCTTGCCTCAAGATATTCCAAAGGACGGGAACAATGGCAGAGAAAGCTCTTCTTCTGGATACTGCCAGCCAGAATTCCCAAGCCAATAGGGTCCATACCATACCTCCTCTGCCAGTGGACCAACCCCCTTTGGAAGATACAATTCCTCAAATAACCTAGACCAGTGCCACGAAGGGCTCTAAAGGTGAAATTTATTTATTTCCCCAGCCTTGTTAAAATGTTAAGATATTTTTATGGTTCCAATTTTTATGGTTTTATTCTTGCTTGTTAATTTTTTTTTATTGTATCTTTGTAAGCCACTCAGAGCTGTTATTAGCGAACATACTCTCTTTTTACATGAATAAGTACCATGAAGCATATTCAATAGCCATTGTTATAAGGGCAATGTTCTTTTGTTGCATTTAATGTAATAAATCTGCTCACATCAGGGATAATATATGCATTTCTACTGTATACCAATGCAACCTTACATTTGCAATGCCAAGTTTTACTAGAGAGAGAAGCAAAACTTTATAAAATTCTTTCCAGTGAATAGAGGTATTGATTTTAAGATATTAACATTCAACACACTCTATATTTATGCAGTACTGATTTATATTATCCATATTCAATTCTTGTAGCTTCCACGTTCCTACCTGTCAAGGAACAAAACTTTATTGGTAAGGAAACATGCAATCTAACCAGAGGTGGTATTCAGCAGGTTTTGACCAGTTCTGGAGAACAGGTAGCAGATGTTTTGAGTAGTTTGGAGAACTGGTAAATACCACCACTGACTGGCCTTGCCCCCATCTATTATCTGCCTCCCGAGTCCCAGATGATCGGGAGGGAATGGGGATTTTGCAGTAACCTTCCCCTGGAGTGGGGAGGGAATGGGGATTTTACACTATCCTTCCCCTGCCATGCCCACCAAGCCACACCCACCAAGCCACGCCCACAGAATCAGTAGTAAAAAAAATGATTTCCACCACTGAATCTAACTATATGATGAAAAGTAGATGGAAGCATTCTGCATGTACTTAATCACAATTTATTTTTAAACCTTTCTGGATGACTGATCATTCAATCAACCATGCAACATAATATTGTCATGATACTGAAATTCAGAATTCTCACGTAACAATCTAGAACAAAAGCCAGCAATCTAGAACAAAAGTCAGCAAAAGTCAGTTAAATTCAATAATGGGACATATAACAATATTCTACTGAAAGAAGAATATTCATATGAAAAATCCCAAATACTCCCTGTATCTGCATTTCTATCTTTAAATAAATTACAGTAAGTAGTTTCTAAAATTTGGAACAGTATTTTTAAAATTCCACTTGAAATTTCATTTGCCTTCTTTAATAGTCACATCACACAGTTGTAATCCACCATTGCATTTTTCCACAATTCCCATGAGCATGAAAAATATTCTCCCATCAAATGCCTGTGCATCAGATTCTTATGCACACAAGTACAAATTTATCTCTGTTAAATTATTCTCATACGATTTCCTCAATGTATCAATACTGTTTGAACTTTCTGTCTTCTAGGGAATTAATTATTTCACTTAATTCTGCATCATCTGCAAATCCAATACAAATTATCTCTCCTCCTTAAA